CGCGAAATATGCCTCAACTGGTTCTCAGGTTCCCCTCACCAACTGTACACTTTTGCGTAAAAGGGATCATCCTCCAAAGCGATTGCTCCATACCAAATAAAACTGGCCGCAGATTCCCACAAGGATTCGAACCCCCACAGTCATGTACTGATTGTTCCGCCAATTGAGCTGTGCCTCGGAATTAAAAGAAATATTAATAATAACAATCAACTCACACAACATATTTTTATTACAATCAACTACTAAACTAGATTTTTTTATTTTTTTTGTATAGAGTTTTACTTTTATGCCTCTTTCAAATATTTGGTTTTAGGGTTGGATTATAAAAACTTTTCATTCTGGATGAAATGATTATATTTTGATTTCACTTTTGGTTTAACCTTTCAAGAGCTTCTACCTAAAAAGAAGAACTAAAGCAACACATACATGTGCACAAGTCTGTTGGNAAAAGTAAAAAATGAAAAATATTTTCCTAATTACCTGGAAAATAAAGCGTATCAAACACGCCCTTAGGGTTGGATTATAAAAACTTTTCATTCTGGATGAAATGATTATATTTTGATTTCACTTTTGGTTTAACCTTTCAAGAGCTTCTACCTAAAAAGAAGAACTAAAGCAACACATACATGTGCACAAGTCTGTTGGCACGCTCTTTCGCTTTTAAATCAAATTATTATACCTTTACTTTATGTGAATATTGAAGGCTTGTTTGGAAGATATTTTTTCTCAAAATTATTATTTAACCACGTATTTTATAAAACTCACAATTTTTCTTCATTAATTAATCACACATTCTTCTAAAAGTAATTTTTCAGACGAAATATATTGGGCCTTGTTGATTGTCTACAATATGATTAATTTCGTCAAAACATAGAAATATGTAATAAATCCTTGGGATTTTGGAACTCTAATTTAAGAAGAAGAAAACACTCGAATTTTAATTATTTCTTCAGCATACAGAAGAATTAATACCCATTAAATCACATAATAATAATAATAATCTACTTCATAAATCACCACAGAGAAATACAAATAACAATAATAATAACTCGATCGAGAGAGATCCAAGTCAGTGCCTCAAGAGTGCAATAGCGGAGAAGAGAAGAGAGGTGGTAATGACGGCGCCGGAGACTGGCAAAGAGAACGCATCTCCTTTGTCTGGTGAAGGCGCCGGTGCCTGAGCAGAGACGGCGACGGAGAGAGCCACGAGGACGTATGCGAGCAAGGAGGCCTTCACAATGCTGCTAATAAGTTGCGCCATAGGTTAAATAATTACTCTCGGAAGAAAGAGGCTAGTGTTGCTGTGTGAGGCTCAATGGTTCCTTGGTGTTGAATTTATTTAGAGAGGTTGTGGGGTCCACGGGGGTAAAAGTGACAGCTGGGACGGGAAACTGTTATTGGTTCTGTTGACAGGTCTGCTGATGGATTAAAGTAGTGCAGTTTGGCGTGTGAAAGTCTGTGACGATATAATTCACCGCGTAATCGCTGTCACTGGACAACAAATACAATCATTAGTGTTTTGTATCTAATTAAAATATAATTATTAAAAAGGGGTTGGGTGCGTTCCGTCTAAGCCCCGTTCATTGTAAGTCAAAATAAAACTTTTATTAAAATTATAAAATTTAATCAGATGTACAAAAATTGTGAGTCTAATAAAATATTTGATTAAAATTAATTTTAATTAAATTTTTTTATTTGATTTCAATCAACACAAAACAGATGTTATGAAGAAAACTAGAATCGAATTAATCAATTTGTTGGAGAAAATACAACATTATAGGCACTGTTGGATTGTGGTGTCATTTGCGTTTGCATTTCAACCTTTAGGGCAATGATGAAAAAGCACTCGGCCCATTTGCTGGAAATTAACCATTGCCCAATAACACAAGAAAATGGCCCAATACTCAAGCCCACTTAATGGGGCCAATGTGCTGCTCTGGACTGGATCTTTAGGCTGGATTAATGGTGATAGCTTTGAGTCGAATTAAAAGACTTGGACCGTTATTTTGTTGGTGGATTTTCAATATGCTCTCTTGTCTTCGAAACTTCTGGGTCTCTGTGATTTTCGTCTCCTCCATCCCTCTTTTCTGATTCTGTGTGTAGTCTAAAAACTTCTAATTTTGTACTTAGATCTTTGTGATTTAACTCTTAGTGAGTCTCCGGTTGAGGGTTTTGGAGGTGTTTGATAAACCAATGGATCTTGATTCTTAGTCCATTGTAGTAGCTGCTGTATCGATTATAGTTAGGGTTTTTGAGTCTTTTGTGGTGATTTCTTGTACAGACGAGTACAATGTTTTGATTCTGAGCCCTATGAATTGATATACTACTTGGTGTGTTTGAATATTGGTTTATTCTTGGTAGATCGATATTTCTGCTTCCGTTGGTTTTAGCTATACAAGTGGTATCAGAGCGTGTGTGAGTCCTTGAGGGACCTTCAATTGAGTGTTTGTCCCTGGAAAATTAATTTCCAGTTGACATACTTGGATCGATCTGAAATTGCTGAAACCTTAATTTTCGATTTGGCTAATAATCATTGTTTTATGTTTGTGTTCTTGCGAACCTGATTCTTGGTGAACGTATTTGGAGATTGGGCTGCAAGCTACGTGTTCTGCAGAGTCTTTAGAAATTAAGCCTTGACCTAGGGTCATGAGCCTCATGGAATTATGGTGAATTCTAACATCAGGAACTGTTGGAATTTTAGATATTATTCTGCTTAATATACTGTAGCATAATTCTTTGTGAAATGCTGTGATTGTTGGCTAGTTTAATATAGCTGCTAATTATGTTTCTTCACTGTGGCTATTGTTACCCCCCAAAAATCAGAGACTCCAAGTCAGTACTCCACGTGGACAGCCACGTACTCTCTGTAGCCAAGTGGACATAAAGCCAATTGACAAGTCGGCAGAAGGTCAGCACAGTTAAGGTCAACAAAGAATGCAAATGTACGAGGTCGTGCGAGTGCCGAGGCAGTAGTCATCTAATGTCCCTTCTAGCTAAGAAAGGAAGATCTACGTAAGGCCCCTCAAGAGGAAGGCGGAGGTCCCTCATGTCCAAAGTACTAAAGCACTGAAGCTCAATCACGTCAGATATCGATAAGCCCAAAGCTGACCTCAACGTATGCTAAAGCCGACGTGGCCTCCTAACAGATTCGAAGATCTCGCAGAACTGATTGATGAGGCGTCTGTAATAAAGTGTCTGTAGCTTTAACATGTCGGCGTGTCAGCCTATTACTAGCTCGGCTGACCCTTTGTCAAGCATTGCATACTATGAATGGATAGTGATGTGAGTCTTCGATCTAGGAGATGTCGCCACATGGGTATGATCAGACGGTCACTACATCGACTAGATTAGTATAAATAACCTCTCTTTGTACTGAAAAAATGGGTGCAATCAAGAAAAATAAAGAACATCTTTATATGCTTTGCTTTATCTTACAAAATACAAGGAAGAACACACATTGATATTCCAACGGTATACAATATATTTTCGTTTCTATCCTTCCACATATTTCATTACAAAATGAGCGATTTAGCTAAGGAAAACGAATCAAGTACTTGTTGATAGCGCAAGTGCTGCCTTAATCCTATTGCCGAAGCCTGGACATTTATTTTTTTCGTCGGAAAGTGCCTCCCACATTCATCACAGTTAGACCATCATTCCCATTCCGGTAGAAACGTGTTGATTAGCACTTGACGTGGTAAGAGTGGGCCCGATATCTGTTGAGTTCATTTTTTGGGGTCAACAGATTGGTGCCGTCTGAGGGAATAACTTACATTTAACCACGAACATGCGTGGAAAAAGAAAAAGATACGTTTTTAAAAAGTTTGGCGAAGAAAGGTTCTTGTCCTTGAAAAAGGAATATCCTTGCAAAAGCAATCAGTAAGAACTTGAAATCCCTAAAGAAGGGAACAAATTCGTATATTAAGTAACCAAAAAATGAGTTTCACTGACGAAAATACCCCTAGAAGGATAAGGGAACGCCCTGAAGAAGAAGAACCCTCACAAGCTGCCCCAGCAGTCCAACCGAGACCTCCAATGCGCAGAAGAGGAGATCCCAAGGGCAGAGGTGGAGTTGCAGTCAGGTTAACTAGAGAAATGGTGACAATGGCAGCCAACATGAGGAACATTACTCAACAGAACCAAGCCATGCATGAAATGTTGATGAGAATCTAAGGACAATGAGGCAATCAGGCTTCTCAATATACAGCCCTTGAAGATGTCCTCCCAGATGCTCAAGCCTATTATCATGAAGAGGAGGAGGTCCAGAGTCCAATGGCGGGACATCGCTATTACGGCATGGAATCTCCTCAGGAAGGCGAGGACGAAGTAGATTCGTCAATCTATCACGCCTTGGAAAGGCCACGGGAAGATAGACCCCAGAGGTTCGTAAGCGTCTTCGACAGGATAAGCCCGATGATGCATAGAAATAGGCAAGATAATCCACCTCAGGTACCTAGCAATAGGTATGACAATGAAGCGCCCCCTGTCCGTCCCCCTAGAAATAGGCATGAAAGACAAGAATAGGCCAGGGGCGAAGCAGGAACCTCCCAACCACCTCCCTTGACCAATCTAAGGAAATAAGAGAACTCAGATGGGCCTCAGAGGTCTTGTGACCTTGATGATGATAATGAGTATTATCCTTTCTCCGAGGCCATAAGGAGTGCTCCCATGTTAAGCCACTTCGTACTCCCAAAAATATAAAAATACGATGGGAAAGATGACCCCGTCAAACATATGGACAATTACAAAACACATTTTAATCTAAAGGGGGCCACCCCAGCGATGAAATGCAAGGCCTTCCACTTGACCCTAAGTGGAGGGACAGAAATTTAGCACGCCAAGCTGCCAGAGGGGAGCATCCGAAGTTGGCCAAAGTTCAAGAAAACTTTCTTGAAACGCTTCTCAACTAGCAAAGAGGGTGAAAGACCCATCCAAAGGTTGTAAGATATGAGACAACAACAAGGTGAATAGCTAAAAAGTTTTACTTCACGCTTTACCGATGAAATAACATATTGTGTGCAAGTCACGGATAAAGAAGCTTTGATTGCCCTAAGAGGAGGTCTAGACAGGAACTCTCTTTTCTGGAGAAATGTGTAAAACAAGGACCCTGCCACCTATGATGCATTGTTGGAGATGATAAGGTGTAAAATCCTGAATGAGGAGCTGAAAG